CGAAGTCCTCCGCGCATCTACACGATGATTGAGTCACGTGTGCGCAAGCTGGCACCCAGATTCCCACTACGTGCATTGTTTGCACGTCCGGGGTGCGGTTGGAATAGCAGGGTAGGCCCAACGATGGCTTGGTGGAGAGAAATAAAAGCCCTGTTAGGAAGGAATACTCGATGCAAACAAGCCAGGACCCCATCGCCGCGGCAGGCGATCCAAACTCAGTCGTCCTGATTGGGGCGAACAGAGAGCCAACCGGGAGAAGCAGCCAGTTACTGCGAGGGCGGCGTTCCTTGATTTGTTGTAAGTTGACCTTTCCAGAGCTTTCCACGTGCGCTTTAGATACCATTCACGAACTTTCCATTTCACCTTTATAATGATTTGCTAATACTTCCCTGTTGCTCCGCTCGTCCGATCCGGTCTTCTCTCTGTCCTGTGGTGGGCCAGCGACTTCGGGTTTTGATTGGGAATCAAGCGTCCATTCAGGCGAGGGAGGAACACTTCACCTGGCGACAGCTTGGACCCTAATCAAGATGTCCATATCGACTGACTTGATCAAGGCCATTCTTCTGCGACAACAAGCACAGTTTGAGGCATCCCAACTCAGGCTGATCGAAACTCTTGCGCGCCAACTTTCAATGCAGACGGATTCACTGTCTACAACCGTCAAGCCGTCCGCATCGGTAGACGCCATCACTAACAGCATTACCGAATTTTCCTACGACCCTGATGTTGGCCTCACCTTTGAATCTTGGTTCAAACGTTATGAAGATGTATTCCGCTTTGAAGTTGGAGACCACAATGACGATTGGAAAGTCTGATTGCTGTTAAGAAAACTTGGAACAGCAGAGCACTCCAGGTATGTCAACTTTATTTTGCCTAAGAACGCTCGAGACTGCACTTTTAAGGAGACTGTCAAATGCTTGGGTCAGATAGCTAGAGAGCAGTCATTCATCTTCAACACGCGATATCAATGCCTGAACATCACCAAGATGGACGCTGATGACTACGTCCCTTACGCTGGCATCGTCAATCGCGAGTGCGAAAAATTCGACATGAAATCCATCACGGCAGATCAGTTCAAATGCCTGATTTTTATCTGTGGCCTACATTCTCCGGAGGATGCAGAGATTCGCACCAGGCTGCTGAGTACAATTGAACAAGACCAGCAAATGACTCTACAGACCATACCTACTGAATGCCGACGATTGCTGAACCTCAAGCGTGAGAAGCATCAATCAACCCCAAGTTTTAGTGTATTAAAAAGCACCTCAAAACTCCGCTTCAAAGTGAAACAGGCCATGAAAACCCCAGAGAGAATCCCAAGCCCCCGACTGCCTGTTAGAGAGGTGGTGAGTAGCATTTTGTTCGAGTGTGTCCATTCCTGAAGCATGTTTACCACAGTGTCGTAAACGGGACCATAAGGAAACGCACTGCCGATCCAGACTGCAGTTCAAGCGTGCTAGACATACGCGACCGAATTCAAATGTTCCCAAAAGATTCAGCAGCTATAGTACGGTTCAAGCGGCCTACTCTGATGAACATGTGGCTCGCAGAAAGTACATCAGAGTTCACCTGAACGGGCAACATGTGCGTCTTCAGCTAGCTACGGCCTCGGACATCACAATTATCTCCAGCAAAACTTGGCAGTATATTGGTGCTCCGTCAATCAGCCGAACGACACATGTTGCACTTAACGCTTCAGGAGGTCAACTTAATCTCATTGGTGAGCTGCAGTTTGAAATGGTTTCTGGCGCTGCTCGGGCAAACGGTGTCATGTACATTACGGGGCTGTCATATTTGAATCTGCTTGGACTCGACTGGATTCAGAAGATCCACCTGTTCGACATTCCCCTGAGTCAAGTCTGCAATACCCTCCGGCTAGGATATACGGGGCCCTCTTCGGAAGGTGACGAACCAAACAGCATTCTGATCGAGCAGCTACGAAGGAAATTCCCGTCTGTATTTCGCAACGACTTGGGAAGATGCACAAAGACCAAAGCAAGTCTTACTCTCGAAGACGGTGCCAAACCCGTATTCCGACCCAAAAGACCGGTACCGTACGCTGCGTTTCCGATTGTTGATGCGGAACTTGATCGTTTGGAGCAGGCCAGCGTCATCCAAACTATGAACTATTCAGCGTGGGCAGCACCTATTGTTGTCGTCAAGATGACCAATGGAACCGTTCGTATCTGTGCTGACTACTCTACGGGATTGAATGCTGCTTTGAAAATGCACCAGTATCCTTTGCCAGTCCCAGAAGATTTATTTGCTAAGCTCAGTGGTGGTGCTTACTTTGCAAAGCTAGATTTATCAGATGCTTATCTTCAAATTGAAGTCGACGATGCTTCGAAGGAGTTGCTGGCAATCAATACGCACCGTGGTCTTTACCAGTTCAACCGTTTGCCGTTTGGTGTCAAATCAGCTCCCGCGATTTTTCAACAAATTATGGATACGATGTTAGCTGAGTTATCAGGAATCGCAGCTTACTTGGACGACACCATAATCAAAGGGTCTACCTTTCGAGAGCTGACGGAAAGACTGAAAGCAGTTCTCCACCGCGTTAACGACTACGGTTTCCACTTGAAAGCAGAAAAGTGCATTACCGGCATGAAGTGTGTAAACTAGATTGGCTTCATTATCGACAAGCATAGCCGTCGTCCGGATCCTCCCAGCAAAAGTGCCATAAAACAGATGCCTCCCCTGACAATGTCGCGAAGCTCAGATCATTCTTGGGGTTGATCAGTCATTACAGCTCTTTTGTGCCCGAAATGCATCGGCTACGAGGACCACTCAATGAACTTCTGGTAAAGGATCGCAAATTTGTGTGGTCTCCTGAATGTCAAGCCGCATTTGATAATGTCAGGTCTATATTGTGGTCTGACCTATTGCTAACGCATTTCAATCCGGAGCTGGAGATCGTAGTTGCTGCTGATGCGTCAGACTACGGAATTGGAGTAGTCATATCCCATATTTTCCACAATGGTTCGGAGAAAGCTGTGGCGCATGCGGCCAGATCACTCACGCCAGCGAAACGTAACTATGGACAGATTGAGAAAGAAGCTTTGGCTAAAGTATTTGCAGTCAAGCGATTTCACAAAATGCTCTACGGACGAAAATTCACGCTGTTTACTGACCACAAACCCTTGGTCGCAATCTTTGGATCAAAGAAAGGCATTCCGGTCTGCACGGCCAGTCGTCTCCAACGCTGGGCAACTGTTCTACTTGGTTACGATTTCGTCGTCAAATATCAATCTACACACAACATTGGTCAAGCAGATGCGTTATCTCGTTTAATTGATACACAGCATCAAGAACCAGAGGATTTGGTAGTTGCTCAAATCTCCGCAGAACCCCAAGTACATCAAGTTGTGTCTGACATTTTCGGTGCCTTACCAGTAACATTCGAAATGGTGCAGGAAGCGACCCAGCATGATTCTACCCTACAACAAGTGATTGATTTCCACCTCAATGGATGGCCTAAGAGAGTTACAACGCCGGAGCTTCAACAATTCCACCAACGGAAGGAAGCATTATCAGTCGTCAGAAACTGCCTGCTGTTCTCAGATCACGTCGTCATTCCTTACATCCTTCAAGAGAGTGTCCTCCGACAATTTCATACTGGCCACCCGGGAATGAATCGCATGAAGTCGCTGGTACGTAGCTATGGGTATTGGCCCTATATGGATTCTCAGATCGAGAGTTTACCCAAGAATTGTCCCCGATGTGCTAGTGTATCAAAACAACCAAGGAAGACGGAATTGCAATCCTGGCGAATACCAACGGAACCATGGTCAAGGGTATACATCGACTTTGCAGGTCCAATTGATGGTCACCATTTTATCATTGTTGTTGATGCACACAGTAAATGGCCGGAGGTGATTCCAATGGTGAGAACCACAGCAGCAGCCACTGTCTCCGCTCTCCGACAGATATTTTCTCGTTTCGGTGTTCCCCACACATTGGTTTCGGACAATGGAACACAATTTACCTCATCTGAATTTGTCGTCTTCTGTCGCAGAAACGCGATCGTCCACGTAAGGTCTCCACCCTTCCACCCACAATCGAACGGGCAAGCGGAACGATTCGTGGATACCCTCAAAAGAGCTTTGTTAAAGATGAAGGGGGAAGGTACCTTGGAGGAGATTCTTGACACATTTCTGCTGACGTATCGCACAACTCCGAATCCGCAGACACCGAACGCCCTATCTCCGGCTGAAACTCTGTTTCAAAGGAAAATCCGTGTGCCGCATGATGCCCTCAGGCCCAGGAAGGATCAGATGCTGTCCCGCAGCTATCAGATGGAGCGACAATTCAACATCCGACTCGGTGCTCGGAAGCGAAGCTTTAATGTTGGTCAACAAGTTCTGGCGAGAGACTATCGCATCCACTATCCTAAATGGGCTATGGGCCATGTGCTATACAAACGTGGTAACGTGATCTACGGTATCCAGGTTGGGACGGCAGTTTGGGTAAGACATGCCAATCAGCTGCTAGCGGCACGGACTGGGGAACAAGTGCAACAACAAGTACCAGCAACGCAGTTACCTCTGGACATCCTGGCCGACGCCAGTGAAGCGACGACTCCCCAGCATGCCCCAACACTGCAAGCACAAAATTCACCCCGAAACCTAGCAGCACAGCGGCCGAAGCGGCG